TAGGCATTTCATACCCATTAACTAAACCATTAATTGTATATGTCTCTAATAAATCATCATTTGAAGATACACAATTTATTTTTTCATTTGCTTTAAGTGAGGGCACTGAGGCTTAAAATGTTCATATTACCTGCACTCAAAACAATGTGATCGATATCTTTTGTCATGTAAATTTTCTTGGTTCTTATTTTGGAACTGATTTTTTTTTCAATGATCTTTCTGGTATTTCGAATCATTCCATTCATCAGAATACTTAAAATGAGCTGGGTGTTCTATTTTTTTTTTCACAAAATTTTCGTATCAAGGATTAAATGATCCTTTGTTAGATCTCTCAATTTTGATTGGCAGAAAATTTTGGTTTTTTGTTTTTCTCACATCTTCCAAATTTTCAACTTTCTTAACCATCTCAGTAAGTAAAATGATGGTAGTCCATTCATCCATAAAATGCTCTTTAAAATCAGGGTAAGTGTGCTTTTTAATTTGATCAGCAAGCATAAGATCTTTTAGCTTTAATGTTTAATCCATTAAGCCATCTTCTAAATAATTCTTTAATTCGTAGTAAAAATCGTACCAAGTACTTTCAAAAGTCCTCACTCAATTTAAATCATTGTGACAGTAAAGTTTTTACATATTCATACTTTTTCGTGTCCTTTTCTGGTTATCTAGCAACAAGCTGAACAACATCAGGAGGCAGCAATGAAATAAGTTGAATCAGTTGGTTTTCAGCAGGTATCTTTATAATCTTAACTTGTCGCTCAAATAACACCAGAAATAAACTGATTTCATCTTCTTTAGGATTAAAACTTTAGGATATGACATCGTGAATTCTGATTTTCAGAGGTTGCTCAGTTAACTATGTAGTTTCTACCTGCTGTGTTCTTGCAGTCATTGCTTCCAGTTCTGCAGCTCAAACGCTCTAAATTTGCTCTCATTTCTCACTATTCTCTTTCTTGTTCTCGTTCTTCTCTCTTTTCTTATGCTTCTCTTTCATGCTGTCTTTCTTCTGTTTTTTTCTCTCTTTTCTCTAATTGCCGCCAGTAATTCTTGAGTAAATTCTTCATCATTACCAGGACTTTTATTGATCAATTTATGCAATTGAGTAATCTTAAATTCAGGTTAAACCTAACTCTTCTGCCAGTACTCTTAAATCCTGTTTTCTACTCCTAGCTAAGAATGACATGTTGAACAAATTATTTTTAATAGGCTTTCTTTTAAAACTGAATCTTAAAAATTGTACTTGTGTAAAAAATATATATATAAATTTTGGCAAGACTTGTCAAATACGAAATTCATTCTAACCAATTGGAGAGAATTATTTAAACACTTTTTCCAGTTTGGCAACAAAATAAAATGATACTACACCGAGTTGATGTTTTAACTCACTATTCACAATCCTCCTTGGTGATAATTATATAAACACTTTTTGCCAGTTTGGCAATTTAAAGAAATTATACCCACATCAGTTTAATGATTTTACTATCTATCTACACATCTGGTTGGTGATAACAAAAACAATTTTTGCCAGTTATCTGCCTCGTGCCTGGATGGCGAGAACTAAGAAAATACTTTTGCCAGTTTGGCATTACAATAAAATCATACTATGTCAGTTTGACATTACTACTTATTTTCCACATGCCTGCTTGACAACAAATTCAGAAACACGATTAGCAGTTCTCTCTCTTTATATATATATCTAAATATAAATGTCAGGATTGCTTTCGCATATCAATTATCAACATAAAAAATTCAACTCCTCCAGCAAACTAAGTTTATACAAATAACAGTAAAGCTTAAATAATAATTTTTTAAATACTTTTTTACCACAAATGTCAATTATAATTTTACGCTGAATATTTTTAAAGTCAGTTATTTTAAACAAAATCTTGCATGATGTAGCTATAATTCTGAAACAAAATATTAAAATTCAATAAATGCTTTTTTTAAGAAAACCAAAAGTTAATCTTATCTTCAGAGATCAGCAATATCCTGTTCTAAATTCTTGCTCGGCAGAGGACACAGATACAGAAGATGACCTTTGAATGATCTGCTTTAAAATGGCAGTCTTCTGACATCTGTTCCTTCTTGAAATAAACAAACTTGGCAATTGGTACTCCGATTCAGTAGGAGTCGGTGAGAATTAATCATTATGAAAAAATTGTTCTCGAAATTTCAAAGCTTTAGGATGAGGAGACCAACCACCATCAAAATCGATATTACCTACTAATTTCCAGTATCTCAATGGAACCTCCAATTTAATAAGACTGTAGCGTATTTTGCAGTTATTATCGAAATAACAGATGAGCTTCTTAGTAAAACATAAATTTTATTCTCAATTCACAGAGATAGATAATTTAAATACAATTCTATCCGTTACAGTTTCACACTCCAGCTTACTATTACAGTTTCTTTCTCTGTATATTTTTCATACATCTGCTACTGGTAAAACTTCTAGAATGATAATTTTAAAATATTTTCTGACGTTGCTCAGCAACAGTTACACGATACAAATAGGGCATTGCCACTCCAATATCAAGGATAATAAATATAATAATTTGTTAAAAAATAAAATATCACAGTCTCTTAGCACCACTCAACTGTGCTAGATGCTGGATCTAAGGTTCATTTAATAATTTGTATCTTGGATTTTTTTAAAAGTAAGACAAGGCATAGCCATTAAAAATGCATATGCTGTGGCTTTCCAATGCTTTATCAGGGTGATATCATTGTACAGAACTTCATACGTGTTTTCCACAGATTTTGCAAATTAAAGAACTAGGATCATCATTCCTTCCTTCTTCCTCTAAAAACATTTCACCCACAATCATCATCTTCTAAATTTGTTCACAGTTATTACACACTCAGCTTATTCTCGTTGTTCTTTATTAACTTCTGTATGTGGTCATTGTTAATTTCTCAGCTAAGGATTTTGCTAGGATATATATAAAGCATAGGGTGGGGAGAAGGCGACTTCTTAGCCTTCTTCTGCTTGTAATATAATCTGGCCATTATTTCTACCGGACCAAATTCATGGTCCTATAAGTAAATTGCTACCAGGCTTGATTATTTCCTTGCCATACAAATAATATTCAGAGTTGCTTAAAATATGTGTAGGCAAAATTTTACTCTGTAGAAAATACCCAAGTTAATGCACCCAAGTATATAAATACATACTTTATAGTTTAAACTCATTTTGATATAGCTACCCCAATTTCATGATGCCTGGGACACATCTAAATCTGTTTTAACCTTCTGACTCTATCTGTGTATATATGTAATGTTCTACTTTTGGCGAGAGATAAAAAAATCATGTTCTAGTTATGGCCGAAAATACTGCTGAGTAGATGAATGGAAATTGCGATATAGTGGAATGACGTGATGGAATTTTTGAAGAAGAACGACCAGCTTGATAGTTAAATGTCATTTATTTTTGGATGACGAATTTCTTAGTACATATCTTCATAATCGGTAAAAGATAAGGCGTGCTAAATGCGCCTCATAATTTAAGATATGCAATTACATTTTAAATAATAGTGATTAGCTAGCAGAGGCTGAATGACACGCTGTCAACAGGGGAGAACACCAAATTTAGAATAGTTAATTTTGAGGTCACTAATCATTTCTTAGCACAGTCATTGTATATATATTATATATATATATATAATATATATATATATTATATATGCAACGTTGTAGAAAGTACTATAAAATGCATCTTGAAATATGTTCAAGAGATTAGGCAACATATAAAGGCAGAAATCGGGTATAAAACGATGGCCTTCTGAAAAATACCTTTTTGTCATGGCTGTTTTGAAACAATTGGCTTTTTTTTTTTTAAATGACACTCTGCCAAATGGAGGGTTAATGTTAATAATAAATGATGATCCGAAATCATAAGCAAAAGTTAATGAGATTTAACAATGCAGATGTTAAATGATTTTGTAGAGTTCTGATGCGCATCGTATGAGAGGAACATCAGAACACTTTTGAAAATATTTTTTTGTCAATCTTAGTGTTTGTAATTTGTCACTTTTTGTTATGAAAATTTTTCTGTGATGAGAGACATGATTCAGTTTTGTGGTCCATCGCAGATAAAAATTTCTAATTAAGTATATGGTTATTGTCTTATTTGAATCTATTTTAATTTTATTAAAAAAATTTTTTTCAACCATTTCAGAGATCCATGCGAGAAGTCGAAGCATATTGTAAGTATCTGTTTAATTATTATTTGTGTGTCTTTCTGTATATATTGCATATTTTGATATTTAGAAATTAGAAAGTAAATTTAAGAAGCTTATCTAATTAACTGTTATTGAACTTTACTCTTGCCTTTCTGAAAGATGCATTATGACATAAAATGTTAAAGGAGAGATAAACAAAATATATCCATGTGTGATTGGTAAATGAATTTGAAAAAAAAAAAAAAAAAAAAAGACTTTAATATTAAATTGCTACTAATTGATCATTCATCTGGATGGCTGTTGAGGCAGTACAGTCAATTCTTGATTTACCAGGTAATCCTGGGAATAAAACCAATGCTAATTCCGAGTCCTAGTTAACCATTAAAAATACTGTGAAGAGGCATAATTTTAATTAAAAGAAAGTTACTATTAACAGTTAACTTGTATTTTCGAAAGTTTTAATTGGAAGATTAAATTTCTTTACAGTGCATTCCAAAAGTTAAGGAACATCATGTTTTTTGTGTTTAATTTGAAAATGAAGCAACATAGAAACCAGAAATTTAGGGGACATGTTCATTAAACAGTTCCTTAATGAATGCGACATGGAATGTTTCTAAAATGTGACATGGAATGTTTCAACTGAAGCATAAATTACAACAAAAAATTGCACTCTTGGCAGAAAAATACAGTCTTGGAGAAACAGTATATCACAGTTTTCTGCGGAAAAATGGGCTGGTAACATTACAAAAATGGGTTCTAATAAGGAATGTGTCCACCCCTAGTTGCAGTACATTGGTGGCAACGACGTTCCATGCTATCAATTAAGTTGTCAGTCAGTGAAATGGGAAGAAACGACCAGACACAGAGTAATCCTTGTTCAAGCTCATCTAACAACCTTGGACAGGGTTTGTAGCGGTCCTTATAAGTGCTTATAAGTCCTTATATTTGAAAATAAAAATATAAAGGCCCTTATAGGTGCTTACTTTTCTTTAAAGCCCTTATTTTTTGTTTTAGTGCTTTTTTTTTTTTATTTTTTTTTGAACGCGCACCCCGTACCAAAGCCAAAACTAAGTAAACAACTTTTCTTCCTAATATGAAATGTCAGATGGTGAATCATACTCTCGGAAATAGCTTTTTCCCCTTTCTCTCTGCATTAACATAACCTTTGGTGTGCACGAAGAGTACAGACAGGTGCCCGTCGTTCTATTGGTCAAAGAATTGCGAAAGCAGTAGAAAATTCCGGTACATTCGGCATTCTTTTCCTTCCACCCAAATACTACACACGTTTGAATTTCTACCAAAATCTTAATAATTTGCATTCTCGTTCCGCTTGGTCAGTTCATATTCGTGTTTATTATGATCATTATGCTTATATTATGAGCATATGTATGAATGTTTATAATAACATAGTTGCAGTAACTGCTGAAGTATAGTAAACTTCCAAAAATGGTTGTGTTTTAACACAGATTAGCTTTCTAAGGAATAATATTCGGAATGGCTTAAATAAAGGGAAAGTAATCGAATAGTCAAAATAATTTCATTTTTTTGGCCAATACATTATACAGTACGAAGATTGGGAGGTTCTCCCCTTTCTCCGCAAAATCTCAAATATTGAAACTGTTACAAGTTCGCTGCAAAACAAGCAACAGACTTTTTTTTTTTTTTTGTCACTTTCCAATCTGGATTGAATAGGACTAAAAGTTCTGCGGTCTACCAACCCAAGCGAAGAATGATTCTATTCCGGAAATTTAATGCAGTTGGTTGAAAATTAGAATGAAAAACACCCCACTTACTCTTATTTAGTTCTTTATTCTCCCAATACTGGCAGCTGTTGATTCCGATTGTGTAATATCATGTAGGGAAGAATTACGGCACACGTATTGCGCAATAGCATTTGCAATATTTTGCAGAGATAATTAAATGTTCTGTCCGAGAATTGTTTATGAACACTTAAAAGAGTTTTACTGTGCTTGCTAAGCAGAATATTTTTCAGTTCTGTTGGTTTATTTTTATATGATGCACATATCGAAATGTCAAAAGCATTTATTTAGCGGGAAAATATAAAGAACGGCTACAGTCTATCCCCCCTCCCTCCACTCCTCTTTTTCAAGTTCCGCTCGACTGTCCGAATATTCGCCAATTTCCAAGTATGCGGGTAGTTAAGCTTTTACTGTTAAAGGATGACTGCATGAAGCAAATTTCTGTCTTCTGATTTCAGAAATGTTCCTCTTTTTTACTTAAATTACTTTGCTTGCAATATCTGTTAAGGGAAAACTGATATACAATGAAAATTTAGAAAATGTTCAGAATTTAGATTTAAATTATTTAAATATTAATATGAGTGGAAAAATAAATTGTATTTATTATTAGGTTCCAAGCGAATACAATAAATATGCCTTATTATTATTTATTTTCTCTATTTTGAACTGAAATTTCATCATTAAATCTTGTAATATAGTTTAGTTCTGCATAGTTTTTTTTTTCTTTCATTGTAAACTAGTTCTGTAAATTGAACTGTTATTTAAAATTTAAAGGAAAAAAAAAGTAATTATTTTCCAATGTTGAGGTAATGCTTATTCTCTCTTAATAAATACTGCATTTCTCATATTTTAAATTGCAAGTCTAATTTTTAAGGTTATGCAGTTGTGTATAATGTCATTAGACAGGTGCTTATTTTTTTCTTAAAATGTGCTTGAAAAGTGCTTATAGGTGCTTATTTTTTTAACTAAAATGTGGCTATGAACCCTGTTGGAGGAGGACTTAAAGCAGCAGCCTGCCTCCCAAGATACTCCCAAAGATGCTGTATTGGATTCAGGTCTAGGAATTGAGCTGGCCATTCCATCCGCTCTGTACCGTAACCCTGAGGATATTTTTCAGCAATAGAAGCCCGGTGCAGTCGCACATTAGTCTTTCCACTGTGTGGAATTGTTGTATCTGGTGCATTGTTCCCTCCAAATTAGCTGATGACCTGTATCATTCTCCAGTGTGAACCTGGACCCGTCTGTGAAGAGAACAGATGCCCATTGTAGACTGGTCTAGGAGATGTGCTCTCTTGCCCATTATAAAATGACACCTCTTTGTCCTCGGGTCAAGGGGACACAACCAACTGGCCGTCTTGCATATAGACCTATATTGTGCAGACATCTGTGCACTGTAGTAGCTGAGATTCTTGTTATTGTCGCCACCAAATTATCTGCCATGAGTTGAGGCGCAGTAATGTTACTCTTCCTTCGGGCCGAAAGAGCTAAATAATATTGTCCGGTAGGTGTTATAACTGTAGGTCCGCCTGGAACACATCTTCTAGACAGAATCCTCAGATTTAAACTGATTTTATAGTCGATGGATTACACTACGAGAGACATTAAGACGTCTAACAACATCAGGATATTGTCCACAAAACTGTAATAACAATTGAAGACCAACACTCGTGAACAAAAATTACAATTACTGAATTTTTTTCTTCAGCTCCTATATAGAAAAAATGTGGTAGCTATTGTTCTTGCACATATTTTCTTAAACTTCATTACTGTCATACATACAAACTGTGAATTTAAACAGTACTGACATTTTTGTAATGATGAACTTTGAAAACCATGCTGTACCTTAACTTTTAGAGAGCAGTGTATTTCATTTTTTTTTCTTTCTTTTTCTTTTCTTCTCTCTCTCTCTCTCTTTTTTTTTTTTTTTTTTTTTTTTTGGTGTGTGTGTGTGTGTGTGTGTATTTGTGTATTTGTCTATGTTTCTCTTTCACTTAAGGATGTGCCTGCTGTTTGCATTTATGTACATTACTCTTATATTTTGAAATAGAAGATCTTTAAGAATGCTGAAATGTGAATGTTTGCACCATTTAAAACATTTCTAACTGAAAAATGTGTACAGCCATTGTACTACTGTTGTAAATTGTACTGCTGTCTATATAAATGTGTATATCAATATGTACATACTACATTTGTAAATATGTCTACAACCTATGAAATACAGTGTAAGCATTTTTATCGTAATGTAAGATCATGGCATTTCTTTGGCATTTTTTATTCAAGTCTATAATTCCAAGTGGCTAAAGTTGTGGAATAATGGTAGTTTCTCTTAGATTTGCTTCTAGTCAGACAACTGTGCTAGTTATGTGGAATTGTCAGCATGTGTTACTAAATGTAATCCAGTTTCAGTAGCAAAATTTGAGTAATTTAAAAGTTGATTCTTTAGTTAAAAAGTAATAATTAGCTATTATATAGTTTTACTTTGATTTAAATCATTGGAGTGACCACATCGTTCACATCCGCAGTTGCTGCAGGCTACCTTTTTTATAACATGCTGTAGAGTGGACAAACCTATTGAGCTAGCTTGTAGGTGTGGCCAATGCCCCTGTCTATTAATTTGTGTTTTTCCACAACATAAATATTATCACATCCACCATCAGCAGAAATATAAACAATGGTGTCAGTTGTTACTGTGGAATTCTGAAGGACATGGTGCTAAATTGCACTGCTTGGCTGGTCGATGGGATAATATGCAAGTATCGTTTCTTCATAATTTTATAGGGGCATTATATTTAAGTGTCTAATTGGTATTATTGTAATGCAGTTAGTTGGGCATAGTTGTGTGCGAGTTTGACCAGTGCTGCTGCAATATAGTTGGTTAATTGTGTGAGAGAAGAACGGTAGCAAAGTAGCCAGTTTTCTTGAATCATCATTAAAACATAAGCATTGTTGCTATGACTTTGCCCATTGGCTCTATCTGGATTTATTAGAGATAAGGAATTGCTATTGAGAATGCTGGTATTAGAGTGCCATGATGTCTCAAACAGTTGAGCTGAAAGTACTCATCAAGCCTATATCATTCATGGTGAGCAAAGTTGCTGCAACAAAATAATTTAATAATAAATTTGAAAATTTTATTTTCCGTATTTTTGCCACTTTTAAACTATTAAACCAGTGTCACATAGATGAAGTTAGGAAAATACACAAATATTTGCCGAAAAATTGCTCTTAAAAAGGGATAAATTTGTGATTTCAGAAATTCTGTATTACAATGTTGTCAATTTTAGTGGTTAGCCTGCTTACAAGTTTCTTCTTAAAGTGAATAAAAATTCACTTGAAATATATTAAAGATTTTCTTTTAATGTAATTTTTTAAAACTTTTAATGCTTGTATTTTTGCTATTGCATTCACTTTCACAGAAATTTTTTAATACAGTGTTGTCTAATTTATCTATGAATTTGGATATTTAAATGCTGTCTTTTAGTCAGAAGATTGTACTTTTCACTCTGTCACTTTTAATATTTATTTCTAATTTTATTTGCCATTATTTGAAATTGATCCCTGTTTTAACTTTTTATGTAATTTTGGTTTGTTTTATTTATTTCAAGTGTCAAAGAAGGGAAATTATGCCTTGACAATAGAAAATTTCACTTATGCAAAAGAACTGATATATCGTGAACCATTTGAAATTGAACGCAGTGCAAAGCAAAAAGCTTCTGTGTGCAGTACTCCTTCGCCATCACCTAATCTGTCATCTTTTAATACTTCTAAACGGAAACAGCAGACAGTTTCTAAAAAACAGACTCCACCAACCCATTCTAAGAAACAGACACCACCAACCCATTCTAAGAAACAGACTTTACTAACGTATTCATCATCATCATCATCATCAAAAGAACATTCATCAAAATCTCCTAAAAATGATACACTGGAAACTGCAAGAAATTCTGGAACTAGGAAAAGTACGAGAAGAACATCTTTAAATATAGAAGAATGTGTTAAAAAGGAAAATGAGGATGGTGATAGTATTAAACCACGACCATCTAGAAAAATAATTAAAAAAGTTCCATTTGATAATTCATTTGAAGAAAAAAGTCCAGTTAGGAAGTGTCGATTGGATTATAAACAGAATTCCTCCACTGAAAATAAGACTTCTGCACCTGTTATATTATCAGATTCATCAACAAAATCCAGTACTCATTTGTCTGCAAACCAGTCGGGAAAGCTGTGTACATCACCTTCAAGTAATACTGAAAATACTTCATCTGTAAATTTACCAGTAGATAAACAATCTAGTATTCAACCCCCTAAAACACGAAAAAGATATAAAGTAAAATGTACATATTCAAAAACAGATTCGTAAGTATAATTTTGCACTAGCTGATTTTTCTCCCTTGTAATCTATGCTTTCACTGTAAAGTATTTATATTTTTAATAATATGTTATATTTGTTTACAATATTGTACAAAAGATTTGAAGATGTTGCTTAAAGTTTCAAAATTTATTTTAGAGTGTACAAGTTTTAAAGTTTTATTTCATTCTTTATTAATTTTTTGAAACTTTTTCTTTACAGATTTTGTTTTATTATTATTGTGTTAATGTTTGTGTTATTATTGCACTCTTGTCAGTCTTACCTGGTGAAACATCTTCCAGTTTTAAATTTTAATGCTATAAGTGTTCCTTCATCAAACATTTTAAAACAAAATTGATTACTGCATAAAAAAGTATTTTTCTCTTTGGTTTTAAATACTTTTGCTGCCTATCACACTGAGGCATGTGATGAAATGAATGCTATCACTTAATAGTCAAGTGGCTAGCATGTGGTGAAAGGCAAGTTAATACCTTATTTTGACATTAGTCAATTTCTGGCAGCAAATGTCAGCTTCATTCATTTTTCTGAGTGTAAAATGCTAAATAGTGTCATTTTATTTTTGCCTGTAAATAATTTCAGTACCTTTAATAAGAAGAGTATAATGCATTTTGCATTTAAAGGAAATTTTATTCTATAAAATAGTTGAAGATAATTATGTGGTACATTGGTTTTATGCTACTTGGTAAAAAATAATTTTTATAAGCTATATAAGAATTTGGTTTTAATGGCATTTAAATAGAATAACATTTCCAGTCATAAAATGTGGTGCATTACTTGCTGTAAATGACTGTGTTTCTCAACCATTTGCAGTTCTTTTCAAGATGGCCAATTATATATTCAAATGTAATTATTTTCTTTTAATAATTCTTATCACTTTCTTATATTCAGTCATTTATTATTATGTTTTTCTATTCAGTATGATCTCTTCTCATTTGTATGAATTAAATTTGAAATGGCCTTAAAATTTCTGCATACTTTCATTATATTTTGTGCTTTTAACTGAATAGTAAAGGTGGGTTGTGATGTTTAAAATAAATATTTTGGTTATGGAATATTTATTACACATGTTATTGGTATGTGAGTACTATTTAGATCTGTCATTTGACTATAGGTATATATGCAAAGCTGTAAAATATTGGATGATTGCAAATGAAATGGCCAAGTTTTGTGATGCTTGAAACTCAGATAGGAAAGGAAGCATGAATTTTATGAGACTAGTCACCAGCATCATTTAATATACTGTTGCCAAACGGAGGTCTGATTGCATTCTTTACATTTAATAAATTCAATGTCTTTGGAGATGAAAAATTCTCCTTTTGCCTAAGACAAATGCTAAGTTAACACTTCTCTGCCAGAAAATGGTCCACATATTGGGGGAAAATAATAAATACTCTTTTGTTATAAGTACCAGATTCAGAAGTGTATGTATGTATGTATGCTTATGTGTATGTGTGTACACACAGAGATACATATTAATGTACATATACATGCATACATATGTACATTTCTGGACCCGGGTCTGATAACAGAACGGTACCAAATATTAATATAATGACAAAGACCTAATGAATAAGGAGGGAGAAACATGGTTTTATGTTCCATTTAGATTATCTTTTACATGGTTCTCAGTGCAGTGTGGAATCTTGATTTGCTTTGGCTCAACAAGAGAGTAAGTCTAACCAGTGTTTATTATTTAAAACGCAGTTTTTAGTATGTGTATCATATATCTATACTATATTAATATATATGTATCTATATAATTTGAACTTGTGAGAGGCATGAATGACTATTAAATTGGACTGCTGTTGGTAAGCACAACTTTCGCGAAATGGCTTATTGGAGTTTACTAACTTTTGAGGTTACATCAGGTACTGCAGTACAAGATTTTTTTCCCCCTTCCCACAAAAACTCACAATTTGCTGAAAATATCTTTCTTGTTTATTCCTAACTGCTTTGGCTTTTTATGTCTGATATTAGTTAATGAGTTTATGTACCAATCCTGTATCAAGTTTTCTTATTGTACCTGTTGCACTTAGATGATGGAGAGTGATGGAATGACTGACATTCAGTTTTTATGTGGCTTTCCACATTGCTTGGCTTGGATCTGATGCAGTAAAGTTCTTTAATTCTGGGCCTGTATCTTAGCAAAATTTCGTGAATAACTGTGAGATGGTTTGTTAAGCAGTACTTCTTGTGCTTTGTTACTATTTTTACATTGTAGCACTTTCAGAATTTCATAGTGTAAACTTGTGCATAAAATTGTACCTTGCTTGCCCCCCCCCAGTGACTGATTTTATTTCAAAGCTTTCTGCATTTCTCCTGTGTTTGAATATCTCGTATCATCCAAAATTTGCATACTGGAAAACTACAGCTCGCTTTCTCATTATTAGCAGAATGAATTTACTGTATCTTTCATTACCTATTTTATTTACCGTAATCCATTTCATCTTTCATTGCAATATATTTGTAGTAGAGTTCACTCTTATTTTCTCATTCTTTAGGATTTTGTTTTCTGAGAATGAATTAATTATGCTTCATGATACAATAATTATATCAAAAGATTTAAAAAATGCATAAAAATAAAGGAAATACATTCAAATACAACGAAATCAAGATTTTTGTGCCAAGCAAATAAGCCATTGGTTACAGTAAGGTCTCTCTCCTTTTTTTTTTTTTTTTTTTTTTTTTTTTGCCGGGGGGGGATATTAATTAAATAATCACATAATAGAAAATTTTTATGGTGGATACATTTCTGACATCTTAATGCCTTTGATCATAAATTGCTCATTATTTAAAGCACAGATCTTTTATAGTTATCTGAATAAAGAAACAAAGAATAATTCAAAATGAATTTTTTAACTATTAAATTTTAAATCAAAATATTAGTATTTACATTGCTGTAATATAATGAAAATTCTATGCTGTGCTTCTTATACTTGTAGAAAGTATAAATCTAGTCTTTATACAATGATTCTTTTGACAAAAGTTTCTGCTGTCATAGACAATATAGATAAAATTTTTCAAGACTTGGATCTGTAACACATAAAAATTCTTCTGAAATTTCAAATTGTATACTAATTATTGTTAGGTAGGTAACTTCTATATATAGAATTCTTACCCAGTTAAATTAAATGGAACTAGTAGAATAATCTAGGTATCAACTTTTCCCACCTCATATTGCTATTTTATAAAAATAATTTAGTAAACATGTTTATGTAATATCCCCAAAATGAATAATCAAATTAATATTTAACAGTAAATTGTTATTATGTATTGCATGTTATCAACATGTGTTTCTTCTTCCTTTTACAATTTTGTGCTCTGTTGCTTAGAATCCAAATCTAATTGCAGAAGAAATTATAATTTTCCTTTTTGTGAGCCAAGTTTTAAGGTTTAAAATATAAGTATGTGTTCTTTCCCTTCTCCTGTTGTGCCCGGTAGTTAGGTTTATTTCACATTATCAATTGATTTCTCTTTGGCAAAATATGAACATAATGTTTTTCATAGAGTTATAATGGTATCTATAAAATTTGGTTATTTGGATATAAACTTGAGTATGTAATCAATCTGATAAGAAAATTAGTGAAGTAAATAATAGTAATAAATAAATAAAATAAACCTCTTTTTAGCAGATATATGTTGGCAATGTTTATCAAGTAGATGTGGTATATCTCTAAAGTATTTGGCCCTGTGCTAGTTCATTCAGCTGAAGATATGAAAATTCCTTTTCTAGTTATAAAGTTAGAGTGGAAGATTCAAATCATCCCGCCCTTTTTTTTTAAATACTTAAGATGATGATGTGGCAGTGAAATTCATTTGAGAAGAACTGAGAGAAGAATTTCCTTTTGTATTAGTACATTTTCATAATATTAAAAATTAAAGTTGAAATAAGAGTTGTTAGGTTGCTTTTTGAAATTCATAATCAATTAATGAGGAAAATTAGAAAGTCCTTTTTTATATAGTATTTCATCTGCATCTCATAGACGTTATATCTTATAATACTGTCATTTATATTCTGCGTGTTTTATTTTTTAAGCTTTTAATAACTTCTTGATTAAAATAGAATCCAATATAGGTTGTTTTTCTGTGTATACTGGAATAATTTATTTGAGGAGTACAACCTTATTGAGTAACCAGATAATTCTGGGCATACAAGGGTTTATACTTATCAGTCGCTTAGTGACTCTGATGCCAAATTTGTGTGATGTAACTTTAATGTTACTCATCTCTAGGAGTGATTTCTGAGATTTAAGTATAAAAACATGTTCATACTCCCAGGTTGTTTAATACATATTCTGCAGTTGATAGCATCATGTTTGTGTATCATTTTGTGACAGTTCTCTTCATTTGCATGCCATTAATAATGGGGTATATATTGTGGCATTTTTATTTATTTAATGGCCTTTACCTTTCGAGCTTCTCTTGCTTCTGGTTTTGAAAGTCTGATAGTGGCAATATCAAGAGACTGAGGCCATTTTGAAATAGATAAATCCACTATCAGGTTTTAAATGTCTGACGGCTAAAACATGTCCATACTCCCAGGTTGTTTAATACATATTCTGCAGTTGATAGCATCATGTTTGTGTATCATTTTGTGACAGTTCTCTTCATTTGCATGCCATTAATAATGGGGTATATATTGTGGCATTTTTATTTATTTAATGGCCTTCACCTTTCGAGCTTCTCTTGCTTCTGGTTTTAAAAGTCTGATAGTGGCAATATCAAGAGACTGAGGCCATTTTGAAATAGATAAATCCACTATCAGGTTTTAAATGTCTGACGGCTATTACCCCAGTGGATCAGCTCTCTTGTCAACAGCACAAAGACCAATACATTTTAATTTTGTTGGCATTTTTTAAATCATAAGAAACATTGTCCATTACAAATTAATTAATGTATAATGGATAATTATAATATCTATTATATAATCAATAATTATAAATGGTTGTTTAAGCATTTTTCCTAACGTTTTTTAAGCATTTTTTACATTTTTTTGTAAGATCTTACAGTGTAATAATTCATCATAAATTTTAGACATTTGATGCAAAGGGTACATCAACCCCTGAATGTCTGAGAGGTGATAAAAGTATTGTAACATACCTTAGATGAATATTCTGGAAATAGATATTCCTGGTAGAATATTGTTAGAAATTTTGAATAACTTCTAGTTTTACTGTTTTAAAAAAATTCTGCTGATATTATGCAAATTCTTATTTATGTCTTGTTAATCCCAGTTAAGATTGTTACTTCTTTACTATTGATTTAAGTTGTCTGCTCTGTTTCAAAATATTTAAAGTGAACTGCAGTGTGTGTTGCAAGTAAAAAAAAATGCATTATGCAGTATTACATGTAAAAATGAAAAGTGTACTATAAGAAGCATTCTGAAAAAAAATTTTAAGAAATTATTTAAAAGTATACAAGGAATATACCTAATATTAAACTCTTAATTAGTTGTATCACTTCTGTAATTTTCTTTCCCCCTTTCTGTTATAGTTGGATCATTTTGTTATGATGAATTTTGTTTTAAGAATAATATTTAAATTAAAGAAGCTTAAAAGCATCAGAAAAATTATTTATTAAAAGTTACGTGTTTTCTTATCCCCTATTTTTTAATTGTATGATTTATAATATAATATATATTTGTCTCCATTGGTTGAGAAACACTGATTTTAGAGAGTGGGTTGGTGTACAGCATGTCCCATTATTTTTTCCTATTCATGTATTCTGTAAAATCATGACATGTATCTGTATTGATGTATAAATAAATGAATTTCTTGAGCATTTGGGCTCTTGATTTTTTGTGTCCATGCTGTTTTTACTGATGTATGTATGGAAATTTAAAAGTAGCTTTTAATAGAAATTTTCTTAACTTTTTTTTTTATTCCCTAAACACTGTAGTATGGAATAAACCAGTGTTTCTCAACCATTGGTCTCCCTCCTTACCACACTTATTTAAAATATTTAGCTATATTTAAAACATTTTATTTATGCATGTAATTTTTAATTATTTTCAGTTTTTAATTTATTCTTGATTATCTGCTTAATAGCAATCCAAGATGGTTGAGAACCACTGTTTTAACAATAGCTTTGTGCTGCAGAAGTTCCAGCAACTCAGAGTATAGCATTACACAATACAGTTAAATGTTTGATTTTTCTTGAGCAGTACAAGCAATTTCTGAATCTTTAACTTTTAGTAGCAATATGTGTACATCATTGATGTTGCACACACATCACCTAGTTCAGACCCTTTATTTAAAAAATAAATAAATTTAAAAAAAAACTGTTACTTAGGTAACAGCTTTATTTCTTTTAGATCTCAATTCATAAAAATTTAAGGAAACATATTTTAATTAAATTATGACTTAATGCTGAACCTGAAGAAAAAATGTTTTGATTACTAGTGAGAAGCCATACATTTTGAAGAGCATCTTCCACTAAACATTTCAACATTTATTTGAGTTGTGTCTTTAGAACACATGTGAGTGCAAGCCTTAAGAATCCTGTTAGCACTGCAAAACAGAACGTGTACAATGAGTTGTTTCTGTATTCAATTGTCCAAAATTCATTTTTCCCATGTGCAGTTTTTATGAAAGCTACTCCATGTGATGTAGTCCTTTTCTCATAATTATACTTGTAAGCATAACAATTCCTCTTTCTGTAATTTATTTTTTCACAGAGGCCACGAAAATTTCATTTTATAATAGCTTTCACGAGCATTTCATTTTATAATACAATAGGATCTCTTTATTCAATCTGTATTCATACTTTTGTATATTTGAATTGCAAAATTTTTGAAAAATTTGTTCTGTTTCCTTTAATTTCCTTTTTTGAAGTTTTAAATTTAGTAGATACAAATGCAGATTCATTACAGTGACTGATTGCACTAATTTCTAATTTCAAGACAAGTTTCTTCCGACATCGGTTGTGAGGTTTAGCTCTTTCTTTTTCAAGCATTGAATCCCAAATGCTATGAACATTTCTGTATTCAAAATAATTTATTGTTACCATTTTATCTGAAACAGGTTCTCCCAAATCTGATAGTTAACAAGCAAATGACTCTATTTTACTGATGTGCACAATAGTATTATCTCTGAGAACCTAGGATAGTTCAAATATTAACACTTGGCATGCGGATATACTTTGCCGCGAACTTACGTGTGCAGCGGGCGTTTTTTCGTGAATCATGCAGAAGTATGGTTATTCAGAAAAATCACAGTAAATATAAAAGTACTTCGTTTTTATGAACGAAACTTTTTTTATTTACACTTAAATACATACTGTAAAATAAAAAAAAAAAAAAAAAAAAAAAAAAAGATTTTTAAAATTTTACAATGTATTCAAAAATATTTTAAATAAGTACAAATAGAACTGATAACACGTTAATAGTTCTTTACAGTATGGTGTACTGTTCAAAGCATTTTCCTCTATGAAGAGGAACACGACAGAAGCTACATATGAAACACGTTTCACTTCGCACTTTTTTGACTGTGCACATTCAACATTGTCTTTTTCTTCTTGCCGGCATCAACAATTTTCTCCAATACGTGTTTATGCATATCCACGGACAATTTCCAGAACGGTCGCGTTTTGATATCATTTGCTCTGGTTCTTCAGTGCTGATTTCAGGTAGTTCATCAGTAACCCAATTATCGTGCAAAAATTTCTTGTATTTTATTTTTTGCGTCTTTGTCGAATTGTATACTATATATGCATTGAAAAATGCACAATTCATCATATACATAGCTAAGCGCTTTGCCCACTTCACTGTTTTATGCAAAATACTATAGTAGGACAAATACTGATCGGCCCAATCTACTCCTTTCATGTACTTGTTGTAGTCGATCAAAGCATTTGGCTTTATAATTTTTTGTCTCTTGATACGATCAACATTACTACTTTCTTTCATTTCCGCGGAATGGATTGAAGAGATGAGACTGACTTCTTTCTTGGATTGCCAAACTTGTACCAATATATAATTTTTTCTTCGAAAGATTGTTTCTCCTTTTTTCAAATTAGTTTTTTTCCAGGCACTCTGGTAGACCTCTATTCTTCCTAATTGTTCCGCAAATTAGTATTTTTTTTTTTTTTGTTTTTGTAAAAGGGCTTCCCTTTTATCGACGCTGTTGTAGTAATTGTCCATGTACAAATGGTGCTTGACATCAGTATATGGCAAAACTACTGTGAGTATCGTTTCGATCAAATGTAATCCTTGAGCTGCATAAACTTCAAAATCGCAAATATGACCAGTGTCACTTTCAAACAGTATTCGTATGAGAATGCCATATTTTATAATTTTTCCAGTGTTGTAAACTCTAAAAAACAATCGTCCTCTCCAAAGTTTTGTGCCCTCATCTAACGATACTTGTTGTTTTGGTTTGTAAATGTTATTGAATTTTTCAACAAAATAATTTAGTATAGGCCTGAATAATCGATCAGAATCGTCTGTGATGTCTTCATTGTTATTGAAATGCCAAGCCTTTCATATTTGGCGAAATCTATCCCTTGACATAGTTTTTGGAAAAAACGCTGTACTTGTGCAGACATCAGTTGACCACTAATCGTCTCAGGCGTCTTCACGAACTTGTCCTATGAAAATAATAAGTCCCAAAAATGTCTTCATCTCCGGAATCGTAATATCTCTCCATTTCATGCTTTTGGGAGAGATATTTTAAACTGACTCATATTTTGATGATAATACCTGTTTGATTCCACGACTAAATATGCAAAAAAGTCATTGCCTATAAAAAACTTTACTGCATCAGCTGTGGATTCAGAAACATTAGCCATGTTAGTTATCCCAGGATGACCCAAAACTCTTTAAGGTCTGGAGGATATTGAGGATTGTTTCAGAACTACTAGAAATTCTTCTCCGGATGAACACTCGAGAACGTAGAATAATGTCATCATCGTCACTTGCTTCGATATCTTGACTTTCAGAATCACTATCATACGAAAAGTCCGATAATCTGTCAGTGCATATTTCTTCATCACTATCTTTGTCACAATGGTTCATTTTAACAATTTATTTAGTCAATAATGAAAAAACCAAGCTTCAAATTGATAAAACACGACTTGTACGTTCTGGAGCTAAGAATTCGATTGAAGACGGAATAACTCAACAAAAGACCAAGTAATAATAAGAGATAACAAAGAGCCAGTTACATGTAAAAAAAAATAATATGCCTAATTAAATAAGTATTATATATATATATTTTAAGAAGATAATTTATAAACCATTAAAATTTCAATAATGTTATCCAATTACTTCATGAAATTAAAATTTCCATCTAAGCATTACACAATACATATTTATTATATGTATTATTTCTTACTTACTTTAATATAATGACTGGTATCCTATTTTACATTTTTTAAGTTTAGAAAAGCACTTTGGTAAGTTATTAAAATAAATAAATATGAAAATTAATAAACAACTGTAAGAACAATTTGAAAATAGAAAAAAATCTAAAAGTAGCAGATTTGTTTTAATATTCATGAAATCTCTGAAAATTCCCTGAAAGTTACAGAAATTTGTATGAATAGAAGGTTCGTCCTAGGTCATAGCAAATGAACTTGTATTTAGAGTAACATAGCATTATGATTTTTAGCTGAAACATAGCTATTTTGTAATTAGATAAATGCATATACAGTAAAAGCTTAAGAAATGCCAGATACAGGAGAATTCTGGATAGTTTTATTTTGCAATTAGATAAATGCATATACAGTAAAAGCTTAAGAAATGCCAGATACAGGAGAATTCTGGATAGTTTGAATGTATAAAAAATGTAATTCATAGTCATGAAGCCAAATAAATTGAAGGAACTTCCCATCTAAAACTATAAAAATAGTCTTATTTGTTATCAACTCATATATCAAAAACCTACATTTATAATTATGCTACCAAACTTACATCAAGCATTTTGGTAAAAGTTGCTAATCCGTGGATATGGAGAAAACTTAAGTTGCTTAATTTTTTGTATTGTATTGTCAGTGTTTATCTGTTTTCAAGTAAAGTCATATTGTGCTCATTAATGCACACTTCTCTTCATCCCACAATAACAATATATCATTGCATACTGTTCTGTAAAGGCAAAGACCTAAATTTTAAAATTTTTTAATGAATGTTGTTAAGAAAACAGATAAATAGCAATTAGCTTACATCTTTCTGGGGGAAACCACCATAGTGAGAATTAATCAGGTTAACATAAAAGGAACATGAAGATCTTCTGATTTCATGCTCATCCATTATCAGCACTAAATTGCATGCTTCAGAAACAGTGTCGTATGTGTACTTTATGGTGGTTTCACAATTCTCAATTGCCGAGTTTTTGGGCGAGTTTAAAAAAATTGTAAATTATTTTGTTCAGTTGAATGCAAACACTCAGATTTTAAACAAATATGCACATTTTCAGGAGCTTTGGTACTTCCCGAACAATGCTAAATATAAAAGTTGGTGTGAAATGTAGTTGAAGACAGGAATTACAACTCTGAAAAGATATCAGACTTCATGAAAAGAATGTCTTTTTTTATTGAATCCAAAGTAAATATAAAAAACAAGGTCAAACAGAGAAATTCATAAATGCAAATGCATATAATTATTCCAATCATAGTTATGTAATATTACAGTCAAAAGTCGTTAATCCGGACTCGTCGGGACTTCGGCGATTCTGGATTATCGATTTTTCCGGATTATAGATCATCAGTTTAAATCTGGTAAGATGGCATGCAGAAATTATAAAATTAAAAATATGAAACCGTAATTTATGAAATAAAGAACAATTATGATCTAAAGGT